CTTTCCCTAGCCTCTTTAGGCTTTACAAATGATAGATAATTTGTTTGGAGTGTGTGGTTTACTCTCACAGAGAGGATACAAAGGTTTACTACACTCGCTAAGGTTTATGTTCCTAAGTTACACTTAGAAATCCTTAGTCTATAGAGATAAATACAATACAATATTGTACATTTGACTATGTATGCTCTGTCTCTGGTTTCGTTGCTTCTTGGGCTTGGAATCACTCTTCGCCAACCTTTCCAGGTTTGGAGTCATGACATATTTATAGTCTCTATAAAATTTGCCCATTGCAAGTGTTTGTTGAAGTAGAATGCAGTCGTTCATGACTAGCTCGATCTTTCATTTAATGCATTAGATCTTGCATTAAATGTTGCTTCCTGTTTATAGACATTGCGTGAAGTCTTCTACGTTTTTGTTAGCTGCAGTATTTGACTTTAACTGTGACCTAGGAATTTCTTGTCCTTTTTCGGTCATCGTAGCTGTAGAGGCCTTGTCTTTATTTGAAAAAATAATGTACTTTTTCTGAAACATGCATGCTTCGACTTTTGGGCTTGTATTTCTCTTTCTTTTTCTTTTCCTTTTAGCACGCGATCATATTGAGAGCTCTTGTATGATTCTAGACGATGCCTGAATTGTCCCTTGAGACTTGATTCTTCAAATGCTTGCATGGAAGTCTTCGTCTGCATCTGGTAGTCCATGTGCATCTCAAGACTTGTTCTTCTTCGAAGCATTTGTCATCAATGCTTTGACTTCCTTTGATCTTATCAACATTATAGATGGATAGACTTCATTTCCGTCTAGAATGCTTTTCAGTCTGTGATGTCCTTCGTCTGATATGTAGTTGACTTTTGTTTGATTCTTGACCAGCCTTCGCCCGAGTCCTTACGTTGCGCTTTAGGTTGTGCTTGACATACCTACGTTTGGTATTTGATCCATTATCGTCTGGCGCTCATGTCGTATTTCATCTATCACTTGACTTTGTTTCGTCTGATCCTCATGTTATGCTTTGCTGTGACTCATCTTTGTTTGGTATTTGAAGAAGTTTCGTCTATGGTCTGTATCGTCTAAAGCTTGATCATTTTCTTTCTTGTGCTAGACTTGGCTTCGTTTGACCTTTCCATCTGATGCTTGAAGCTTTCCTTCCTTTATCTTGGTTCTAGTATAAGAAGTGGCACGTGTTGTCTATTCTTCAACTTGCCTGCACTTATATTTTTCTGAAACACTAAAACACATGTTAAAAATTAAAGCTGCACAGTGATTAATTAAGTAATTTTTTTTTAAAACATAATATTTCTGTAAAAAATTCTGAGGTTCAAGCTGAATTTATAGAGGAACCAAGAATTAGAAAACGCATGAACTCCTTACATTTTTTTTCAATTGCATCAGTCAGCTCCTCCTTCAACAGTGGTCAAAGACTATTTATTCACGGCCTGCATCCACCATGCAATAGTCACATCAGAGCAGGGAGTCCAGAACACACATAGGTCCCAAGCGCCACCTGCATAAACCAATAAACCCCTTCCCCATGCGCCTGCGCCTTCTGTACAAGACCATTATTCAAAAAATCGCTCCCCTCATGCGTCATCTATTTACAATTTTGTCCTATTACAACCTCCCTGTCCTTCCTGCGTAATGTTTACACATTACCACCAAATTCACCTACAACGATAATTAGTTATTTTTTTTTAAAATTTATTTTGTGTATTTTTATTCTTTTTTTTATTTATTCATGTCAAAAAGTCTCCTGCTTCAGCCAACAGAATTATTCCACCAATTAACAAGGAAAGGCTTTGTCAATACTTTTTAAAAAATAACAACATTATAATATTAAAAACGTTACATAAAAATAAAACTACTTAAATAAAGCATTTATTTTAAATTTTAAATTACAAATAAAATTTTCCAACAATATGTTTTATACATAGATATAGATTTGATTTAAAGAACTCGTGAGTCTTAGAGCAAGACAGGCCCGATGAAAGTGTATGAACTATGAACCAGTCTAAGTTAGAATCAAAAAAATCCTTTTCTTTTTTCCTCAACATATTCAAGAGATCATTTTTAACTGAGCTTCTTTGAGTTCACAATAAACTAATCATCCAAACCCAGTATTCATGCCTCCTTGGGCTCCAAGAACAAAAGATAAGCAATTAAGCCAATGACGGGTACATATCTAAGATACTTTACTAAAACAACCTTGTTTTCCTGAACATTCTCGAGGTTATCACCAATCAACCAAGGCTGGAAAATCATATAAAGGCATATATCCCATATGAAGGCATAAGCCAGCCTTTCTGATCCAAGATAACCCACCAAGTAGTCCAATCTATCTGCTATGCCCCCAAAATTTGCATCCATTCGACCAAAAAGAGCCCATAAAAGAGATATAAAACATGCACCGCCACCAATCAATCCAACAAGTTGAGCACCATTTGTCATCACAGAGCCCAACTGTGAAAGTTTGCTTGGATTTGGAACACTCTCATCATCAGCATCATTCAGGCGGATAGCCATGTATGGGATCAGAAATGCTGGCACATCATAAGACAGGTAATGCAATTACATTATATATAAAGGAAAACTAAGTTGAGATTAAAGCATTCATCTCTTTCATATGCTGGAACACTGCTGTTCTATAAGGTAAATAATCAAAAGACTTGTCAACCAAGAGAGATCTGTGAGACATACTATTTGTCAGGAACATTTGCAGGCCCCAGAGAACATCTAGAGACCCTTTATATCTATCTTTCTTACGATCAGTGAACAGCAAAGGGGCAAACATGAACGTCCAGCCAATCACAAAATTGAATAGTCCTTCGGACATCTGAAGCAAGAAAGTTCAAAATTAGGAAGATTGCTCCAACAAATGATTGTATTTGGTTTCAAATTGCCAATCATATTTACTTTGAGCAAATGACACTTACAGGATGAAGAACTGCCGCATCAATCAAATGAATGCCAACTACTCTGCCAGAATGGTCAATGCAGAAATCATTGAAGTGCAACACTAATATTTTTCTTCAAAAACCACAATTCCACATTACTCTTAAAAGAAGCAGATCGTTCGGTTTGACTTTATATAAAATAGCCAACTAAACATATATGCACTAATGTGTGTTATGTTCATGTCTGACAATATTTAGAAGTAAATCCCCACGTCTTTGCATCAATTAATGAGTCCTACTGTCCTACAATATTTAATCACGTAATGTTTTCATGTCCTCAAACTTTTCCCTTTAACTTTGGCACGTATGACATACGTCAAGATATTATAAATCTTGAAGCTCGTGTGTGAGTTTGTGAATTTTTTGTCCTTAAAACACACGCACACATTTGCAATGTTCATGCCCTACAATATTTAGAATTCAGCAAGTCCCCTTGTTGATGTACCTATTCAGTGCATACTGCATCGTACAAATATTTAATACACAATTTTTTTGTCATTCAAATTTCATTTCCTGCAACTTTTCCATTTCATTTCAGCACTTTGACATACATGAAGATATAATAAATCTTAAAGCTCGTGTGTCTGCGTGTGAATCTTTTTTCCTTAATACACACATGTTCCATGTTCGTCGCCTACAATATTTAGAATTCAGCTAGTCCCCATGTCCGTGTCAATCTCTAAACTACATAGTCTATATCTTATAAGAATAAGACTCTTCTTTGTTTTTTTCGAGAAACCAGAACACAACAGAAGTAATTATCAATCACTTCTGCGTGAACCTATAAACAGAATTAAGATTGCATACAATACTTTTAAGCTGGGAATCCCAGGAGCATATAATTTACAAGCCAGTTGTAAGTCATGGTATCATAAATTATCCAAACTACACGCCAATATAAAGGTTTTCATGTACACAACGAGGAAAGGAATCAAAGAGAATGAATCTCGTCACACAAACCAGAGCAAAATTGATAAAGCAAGCTTCGCTTCTCAAATTGTCCCCCAATAGAAAGGAAAATAGAAAAATGGGAAGAGATCATTTTCAATAATCAGTAAAGGAATTTATTTAAAACCATAACTAAATCAAATTCAAAAATTGTTACATGGAAAAGCACAAAATATCAAAATATTTGCCTTTTTATTAAAAAGTGACTAAATACAGTACATTGACATATACAAAAGCAATGGGAAACAGGTTAATATGACAAGAGCATCAATTGTTCTTATATAACATTAATATCACATGTGGAGAAGTTGAAAACAAAAGGAATCAACTCAGTCATCATTCATTACTTAGTTAGGTGTAATGAGTAATAGGCAAACGTACCAAAGTTCATGAAAGGCAATATGAAAAAGAAATTAAGAGAAAGACCAATAAGAGAATTCCATGTGTCAGAACTGATGGCCCATATAGGATCTCCCTGTCACAATACAAGGAACATTTCAGACTTTGAGACAAAATCAAAGCTATAATCCTTATACTATTATCAAACAACAAGGAATCATATGCAATTCCAGATTGCCAAAGCAAAGTAAGAATGAAAGGAGGAAATTTGTCAACAATGCCATATAAGCAACTTCCTATACAATCATTTAAAATTACAAATTTACAAGTTTTAGGAAGATAAAGAGGACTACTAAAACTCGGTGATAAATTTATATTGATATTGTTGTAAAAGATGTGATATGAAGTGATACATAAACAAAACACTAATTCCCATCTATAATTGTACCAAAATCTTAATCCTACCTAAGGTTGAAAACAAATCATGAAATATAAAGAAATATGGAAGCTAAAACTCCCCTAAGATCCTCTCTATATGATACAAACAAAACTACCCCAGACTAGGGTATTCAATTTGTTTCTACTCGTGTTCCATTAATCTGTGTGTATCTTCAAGACTCGAATCCAAGATCTTGCTTAAGAAACTGATTCAGTTTTATTCGGACTAATGACTTAGTCCTAGTTCCTCTGCCTCTACTTAAAAATTCTATATGTTACTCACTTGGTCTTACAATTTTTGACAATCATGTTATTTGTATGAATTCTCGTTTAATTAATCTTCTTCAAGGAACCTGACTAACCATTTTTAGCGAGTCTCACCTCCCTACCACATCTATACATTCAGAAAACTCGAACTTGGACTTTATTTAAGGAGACCAAATTCAATTCAACTTGAGACTTTATTTAGAGAGATCAAGTCCAATTAGAGTTCTTGTCTAAGAAGACCAAATCCAATTGCCGAATTCTTGTTTAAGAAGATGGAGTCCAATACCGCTAGTAATTTTTGACCAAAAAATGCATATTCCAAGAAAACTCAAAAATATATTTTTTAACAAAAACTGTTAGGTGCAAATATATAAATTTTCAAATTACCGTTAGGTTAAACTAGCACAAAAAGGACATTTACTGTCTCCATGTAATTTTAAAAAATGTAAAATAAACAAAAGTGAGTATAATTTCGAAGGTAGATTTTGAGTAATGATTGAGACAGAAAGCGTAAATACCTTCTGCGACAAATGCGGTTGTTATACGGTTACAGAGAGATTCAAAAGTGTAAGAACGCGATTACTTTAAAGCGTTAATAATAAATAGGTAAAGGGTACATACAGGGGCATAAGGAAGCAGGAAGAGCCACAGAACGTAGACACCTTCTGCGAGCCACAGCGCAATTTGAAGCACTCTTCTCGAATCGCCCTCGCCCTCTTCTCCGGAAGAGAAGGTGGGTTTGCGGCGAGTGGCGAAGCACAAATGGGTCTCCGAAACGCTGCGTTTCGCTCTGGGAACGGCGGAGAACCAATGCGTGGAGCTGAAGGCGCAGCGAAACGGCGCTCGCTTGCGCGTTTGGGGAAGATGGATCGAGGATTTTGGGGGGAAGGGTTTGGGGGAGAGGAATGGACAAAGAAACGGTGGGGACGACGTCGTTTTGATCGTCGCCATGGCTTCACAGAGGCTTCGGCGTTGAGTGGCTCAGTTCGCAGTTCACACTTAATAGTGCAGTTGTGCGAGGTGGATGTTCATGAACCACCCGTAGCCAATGCCATTATAGTAATTTTTTTTTTACAAGGACTAAATTAAATATTTCTTTAACATTCTTCGATTTTCACTTTGGTTTTAACATTTTTTTCAATATTTTTTCTTAGGTAATGTTTGTTTCCAGGGATTTACTATTCATGAGCAAAGAAAGGCGAAGAAACTTGTTGTTCGTTTATAGTGATTTGCGACAACGAAAAGGCGAAGAAAAGGAGGAAGAAGCGTGATTCGCGTCCTCGCTTTTGTGCGAAAAAAAGAAAAGAAAACCACGTAAGATTTATAAAAACCCAGAAATATCCTTTCGCATGCATGCATAGTGTGCCATGCAGTGAAAAAAGCATAAACGAAGGAAACATAATCGATTATGCAAAAATACATAATCGATTATGACCTTACATAATCGATTATGTTGAACATAATCGATTATGTAAGGGCATAATCGATTATGTAGCCTTGCATAATCAATTATGCTGTATATATATATACAGCATAATCGATTATGCTATATATATAGCATAATCGATTATGCTATATATATATAACATAATCGATTATGTTATATATATATATATAACATAATCTTTTATATATATATATATATAATATTAATATTTAATATATAATATCTTAAATTAAATATAATTATATATATATATTTAATATTTAATATTTTATAATTTTTTTAATTAAAATTTATATATTTATCTTTTAACTATAATAATTATAAATTTTTTAACTTAAGGGCAAAATAGTAATTTTATATAATTATTAATTAAAAAATTTATTTTTATCTATCATATCAATCAATTCACTCACAAACTTTCACATACTTTCTCTACACTTTCCACTTACTTTCTCTTAATCCAAACAACCTCACTTTCTACTCACTTTTCCTTCAAATCTCTCCTTTTCCACTCCCTCTTTTCCATTCTCAAATCCAAACAAAGCCTTAGTCTTTAAATTTTTTTATAATATTTTTTTAGTATCTATAAAAAAAATTGTTTACAGAAAATTGAAAAATTAAAACTAAATAAAAATTATTTAGAGTATAAAATTAAAAGATGACAAATTATGAGATGAAAATGTAAACTTTGATTAAATTTTAGTATTTATAAAGACTGTGTGAATAAGCTTTTAAATTTATATTAATGTAACTTTCATGTTTTATGAAAAACTTGCTAATACTTTTTATGCTATTTGTTCTTACCGGAGATCGGTCGTAGGGGACGATCTGCTGAGTAAGATTGGCGAGCCTCTTTTACTGGTACGTTTGTTGCTCCAAGGTGGGGGTGATACCTGCAAAAGAGACTCCGATGCTCAAGTTAGTGTTTGTGGGTGTATAAGTCTCGTATAAGTAATGCACGTACCTTTGTGTGGATTAGGGTTTCGATGGGCCTTGGGTCTGAGATCAGTTATGACCTATTTAGATAGTGGACCTCGTCTTGGTCGAGGTCGGCCAGCGCGTGTCTGAGGTGCGTATCCGAGGTCATCCTGCGCTGCGATACTGAGCTTGGAGCTCGGCTTCGCGATACGGATAGTACACTAGCCCTCCGAGCTCTGAAGACCGTGGGTCGAGGAGTTAATGCCGAGCTTGGAGGGGAGCCGTGACTCTTCGCGTACGCTTCCTTGTCATACTGCCATGTGTCATAACCGTCACCTCGTTCCCATAACGTGCGGGCGGCGTGTTAATGGGAGGTGGCCGTTGCGTAATGATGATCGTGCCCGTCATGATGGGGCTCATTAAATGTGTCGTCAGTTGTGTTCCCTGGCTGATACGTGTCGTGCCGTTTTGAATTTTGGAGGTTTTTTTTCTCTCTCTCGCGCCTCTTCCCCTTTCACTTTACTCTTTCTTTCCCTTTTTCCTTGGCTTCCTGTGCACACCGATTGGCATTCTACCTTTCCTCGTCTCCGTTTGCTTCTGTCGTCGCCGTTTCCGGTAACCCAGTTGTCGTTAAGATTGTTTTCTGAGGAAGAGTATCAGGTACTTCCTTTTTGCTATCTTCCTTCTCATTCTTCTTCTCTGTCATCTCTCTTCTCGAGTCTTTGATTTCTTGATGGCTGGAGAGAGTGGTTCCGCGTCTTCCACCCCTACCAGGGGTAAAGGTAAGGCGCGCGGCAAGGCGGTGGCTGCTGGGACGGCTGCCGCCGAAAAGAAGAAGGGGGACAACCAGCCTAAGGAACCCCTCATCGGCATTCCTGGCTATGACTGGGTCAGGAGTGACGTGGGGTAGTTTCAGAGCATCTTTAGGTCGTTTATGGAGGTCAACGCGATTTGGAAATCGCATAGGATTTGTGAATCTTCTCTTTCCAAGCTTATTCGGCTGGAACCGTGTCAGCCCGGTGAGCATGTCTATATGGGGGGGTCCTTCTGACCCCCATTTCTTCTACATGTACCAATGCTTTTTTAGGGATTTGGGCGTGCGTCTTCCTTTTTCCCAATTTGAGTGTGACTTTCTAAATTTTGTCAACTCGGCTCCTTGCCAGTTGCACCCCAATAGCTGGGGTTTTTTGAGGGCTTTTCAAGTTCTTTGTTCGACCCTAGGGATAGGGTTATCTCTGCTTGTTTTTCTTCATTTTTATCAGTTGAAAATGGGCGTCCCTCCTTACGGTTGGGCGTCTCTGAATGGTAGTAAGGCTGGGGGGTTGTTTTCTCTTTACTCACAGTCTTATAAAAATTTCAAGCAAGAGTTCTTTCGGGTTGTGCTTCAGGATGTCGACCCGTTAAAGGACGAGGTGTTCCACTTTGGCGGTTTGCCGAAGTTTCCTTTTTACTGGCGGTAGGCTCCGGCCAGGTTTAACGGGTCGGCCAATCTGTAATTGACGGCCTCGGACACCGCCGCCATTGCCGACCTAGAAGCGCTCCCTCGTCCGTTGGATTGCAAGCTCGTCTTGTCGCTTGCGAACTCGGCGTACAAGGAGAGAGGTTTAGAGAGTGAGTATCTCGTCTTTTTGATTGTTAGGGGTTTGTAAAATCTTCTTCTACTAACGTCTCTAATTCTTGTATTTGCAGGCATAATGGGCAAAAGCAAGTGGCGCGAGTTGAAATCGCGCTACAACGTCGCCGAGATTGAGGTCCCTGAGCCTCATGAGGAGGAGGTGGCCCCCCTGGAGACCCAAAGAAAAAGAAAGAGGCGAGAGAAAGAGGTCGGGGGGACCTCTGCCCCTCCAGATGCCGAGGAGGTGACCTCAAAAGCTGCTGATGCCGGCGCGGTTGACCTCACTGGGAGTCCCCTACCCGAGGGAGCTCCCCAGGTGGCCGCCGAGGAAGCTGCCCAGGCCGTCGAGCAGGTTTCTCAGGCCACCGAGGTTGATGTCTTTCTTTGTGGTTTTCCTTCTATATTGCCCTTTCTCGTTCTCCTGACCTGGGAGTAAATTTTTATGTTTTTGTTTTTGCAGGTGAGGGATGCTGTCGAGGTCCCAGTGGTTTCGAGTTCAGAGGTACCAGGGACGGCTGCCCCTGTTGTTGAGCAGGAGGCGCCTGCCTCTGCCTCTGTCGAGGTCCGTGAAAAGGGGCTAAGCTCCGAGGTCCCGACACCTACACATGCGACCTCGGCGCCGCTGTTTGGCCCGTCAAAGGGGCCCCCCAAAAACCAATACCTCGCCCACCGCTTCGGGAAGGATCGCTCTCGGATGCGGCTGGACCATGTGAGTGCTTTAGAGGATATAGATTCTCTGTGGAGCGCGGGGGTGACCTCGGAGATATTTTTCTCCAAGGACTCGCTGAGCACGGCTGATCAAGCTATGATCGAGTCGGCTGGGCTAGTGGAAGGTCTTGATTCTGCCGAGGTCTTCCTGCAGAGGACAATGGCCATCGTGGACCACTGGAAGCATAAGTGGTCCAAGCAGTAGGAGGACCTGGCGAAGTTGAAGGGCCGAGTTCAACCTTTAAGGGAAGAGAACAGGGCTTTGAAGGAAGAGAACAAGGCCTTGGCGGGCGCTCTCGGTGATGCCAAGTTGCAAAATGAGGCTGAGCTTCAAGCCACCAGGAGGGAGCTGGATAGAGTTCAGAAGTCCTTAGAGATTGCTCTGAGGTCTAATGAGACTCATGCTGCCCGAGTGAGTGAGTTGCAGGAGCTCGCCAATTCTTCCCGAGGTCGGGTACGTGCCTCAGAAGACGAGGTGACTTCCTTGAAGGCTGATCTGGTGACGGCGGCCGAGAAGCGTCTGTGTGACAAGGTGCTTCTTGGTGGGAAGGAAGAGGAGGTCGCCGCTCTGAAGGTGGACCTTGCGAAGATGGTTGCGGTGAGGGCGAAACTGGAGACGAAGCTCGTCAAAACTGAGCGGGCTCTCCTATTCGAGCACAAGAAGGGATTCCTCAAGGCAGCTCGCCAGGCGAGGCTACTTGCGCCGGGAGTCGACCTCACTGCCATGCATGTGGAGAAAGAGGTGCGCTTCGGGAAGCTGGTGAAGGAGGACGACCTCCAGGACAGCTCAAGCGAAAATGCCTCTACCTAGGCCGGTTTTGTAATAGCTTAGTTTATTTTGTTTTACTTATTTTTTCTTTCCTTTGGATTCATGTGTTGAACTCCTTTAAGATTTTCGTGTATATATCATTTTCCGAGATTTTATCCTCGTGCTTTCGATGGTTGTTTTTGAACTTGTGTATTTTGCACTTGTGTTTTTTGGGGCTCAAACTTGGGCTGGTGCAAATAATTCGTATTAAGGTTCGAACTCAACCCTTGGTGAGAAAGAACGATTTAGACCGATAGAACGATTTGGGTTGATATTCGAACTCGACCTCTGTATAAGATAGAATAATGTGTGCCGAGATTCGTACTCGACCTCGGGTCGAGCTTCCTTTTTAAGGTTCGGATTCGACCTCGACGAAAAGTAAGATAATACGTAATAAGGTTCGAACTCGACCTCGGCTTAGCGTGAAATAAATTGTACCAAGGTTCGAATTCGACCTTGGTTTAGAGTGAAATGAATTGTACCAACGTTCGAATTCGACCTCGGTGTAAAGTAAAATAAATCGTACCAAGGTTT